TTTTATGTCAAAATGATGTAGAGCTTCGGAGATATTGGAGCTTGTATCGAAGCTTTTTCGGTAGATAATTGAATTATGTCGATTTTTGATGTGATCCTTACGTGAAAGGCATATAAAGATAATGTGTTGTATCATTATTAAAGTATAGGATATTTGTGAGGTAAAAATATTTTTTGATGGTCGATATTCAATCTACAAATTAGAGCTCCCAAATCATGTCTCTCAGAGTTTTGACCTAACATGCACAGGGAGAATGATTATTACTAAATAAATAAATAAGTTATCTAAAATTTGCCTTGAGCTTATCGTAGTTAGAGAAAACGAACTATTTTTTATATCTTTTATTTTTTTAAAGAGGGTTTTATAAAATTATTATAATGTCACCCCCATTGTATTTACATATTTTTTTATCGTCTTTTAAGTTCAACTTGGACCATTTTGTACATCATTCTGGCTTCCCCAAATAATGGCAAGGCCATAAACTGTTACAAAATCCGTTATCTAATCTATTTATATTATATTTATTGCAAAAATTTGCTCTTTCAGCCTCGATTCGAACACACGCCACCAAAATATGTAATACATCTTCTAATTTACCACATTCTACACAGTTAGGGGATTCGGTCTTTCCCACCAAAAAAGCAAAGCGAAAGCGCGAGCTGTAACAATATCGGCCCTGCCCATATTGGCCCTATCTACCCACGAAGAACTGAAAATATTTGGTTGAAAAGTTTTATACCATATTGCTTTTGTAAGAGATCTCTCATTAAAGTATTCCTTCCACAGACTGACACACCTTTCTTTCACCTTGTATAGAAAGTCTGAAAAATAAGGTAAACAATGCAGTAAAATACCGTCAGAGGAAGCTTCCTTTGCTAGTCTATCCGCCGCTTCATTACCTACTAGGCCAATATGAGCAGGAATCCACTGTAAAACAACAATTAGGTATATTTATTTTTTGGTTAAACTATGCATACACTTCAAAATACTGTAGGCTATCAATGTTCCTCGAAAATTCGAGGTACAACGAGCTAAGTGTTGCAGAGCACTCTTAGAGTCTGTCAAAATAACATACTGATATTTGTGATTGAGTGATGCAATGTACGATACAGCTTCTGAAATTGCTATCAAATCAGCATACATTATAGAAACATTTGAATTAATTTTGAATTTCATTGATATGTTTAACTGTGGGTCAAAAAAAGCAACTCCAATATTATTATTATTATCGCTAGATCCATCGGTATAGATTTTATAAGATTGCAAATATTTATCATCAATAAATTTTAAACTTATTTGTCTCAGAACCACATTGCTATAGTCGTGTTTAGGTTTATCAATAATCTCAATAAGAGAAGGTACAACCAGAAAGATCCACATTGCTAACCCAGGTATCTAAGGAGAACATTTCAAGTTGCGTGGAGGTATGAATATTGGAGTATTTAAGACAATTATGTACGATTGCCAACAGAGGTTTCTTTTTCTTACATGATGGATGAGTCACGAAATATTTATCTAACTTATCGAATACTATAATTAACTCATTATCTAAAAGTGATTTTGTTTTCAGCCAGAATTTTCCTGCAAGATAATACCTTCGAATATGTAGCGGCTCAATACAAAGCTCATTCTCCATCACATGTATTGGCGTGCTTCTTAAAAATCCACCAATAACTCTTATAGCTTGATTTTGCACTCGTTCTAATTTTTTAAGGTGCGTTACACAACTACTATCATAGAGGAAATAAGCATAATCAATTCTGCTTCTTATGATTGCGATATACAAACGACGCAAATGTGATGGATGTAGACCCCACCCTTGCCCAGACAAACATTTAAGAATATTTAGAAACTTAAGCGCTTTTTCGGCAAGTTCATTTATATGTTTCCCCATCTTAGACCACGATCCAACCATATACCTAAATATTTTATATTATCAACTACCTGTAAGGAAAAGCCATTAATTTTTAAGTCTATCAACTCACGTCTAAATCCACAAGAGAACACACACACACTTTACTTTTTATAGGAGACACTTCTAGACCTATGTTGAAAAGCAGTGAGCTTACTAAATCCAATGCCTCTAGGAGATAGTCAACAGCTTCTAATAAATTTTTACGGCCCACGTATATAACGAAGTTATCTGCATATTGTGATATGCGAACGTTTTGTACCTCTTTGCATATTTGTGTAGTAATTATGTGGAATAGCAGTGGTGATAATGGGTCCAGAGCCAATCCCCTACCTGTAATTTGGCAAATTATGGCATTGTTAACTTGAATCTTTAATGATCTTTGACTGAGAAAATTCCATAGGTTTCATAGGTACATATAGCTGATCCTATACCAAAACGATCTATAGCCAGAATTACACTAGTAATATCCACGTTATTGTATGCGTTATCTATATCTATGAAACAACCAATTGTAGCTATTCTACTTGTTAAGCCTAACTGAATTTCAGAAACCAGACTAGAAAGGTTATTTAACGTTAAACGACCTCTTCTAAAACCTTTTGTGTAATTCGATAAAATGTTATTTTTTTCGGTATACCATTCTAATCTGTTTTTAATAATAGTGTGAAAAATTATCTCTCCCTGGTTTAGGGATTGGCACAATTAATATATATCTCTCCATTGATTAGGGACAAAACCACTCCATAAAAACTTATTATATAAATCAAACAATAAGCATTTTCCATTATTTGGGAGATTTTTAATCATGGAATATGAAATATTGTCTGCTCCTGGGACTGTCAGTAGGCCGAATACTCTATTTGGTTTTTAATTTTTCGTTAGTAGAGAGAACAGCGGGTTTCATGGGGGAAACAAAATCAGGTGTCAAAGTATTAATCAACTCGGAAGCTAAATCCTTATCAATAAAATGGTAGTAAGCCCTGTAACCCTCAACCATTTTATTTTACGCCGCAAGTCTTTTTGAGAGGCTGAATGATTGATGGTAGAACAAAACTCTTGCCAAGCGCGGTTTTTCGCTGTTCGTATTATTTTTTGCGCTATATGAATTTTATCTTTTAGGATATCAAAATTCTGTGGAGCAGGATTTCGTCTAAATTTCGATAGTGCCAACCGTCGTTCAGCAACTGCTTTAGATAGTGCAGAATTCCAATATGGTACAGGTTTGAAGTAGTTGCTTGGGTCTTGGTTGATTTTTATACGAGGGATGTGCTCTTTAGCCGCTTCGTTAATGCATTCAATGAATAAATCATATGCGTTTTGTAGGTCTATAGGTAGTGATATACCTGAAAAATTCCTGTGAAGCGCATCTTTGTACGCAATCCAGTCGGCTTTCTTAAAGTTTTTTCTTATAACCTTCATATTACTAGTTTTAATATTAATGGATATTTTAATTATTTGATGATCACTACCTAAAGTTTCATTTATTATGGCCCAATCAAGTTTTAGAGCGATATCCGCAGATGAGAAAGAAATATCCGGAGTATTCCTGCAAACTACCGTTAACTAACTTAATGCGCGTTGGTCCACCATTGCTTAATGTTATTAACGAGTTATCTATTAACGCGTTAAAAATCTGAACTCCTCTAGAGTCTGTTTTCATTGACCAAGTATTATCGTGTGCATTGAAGTCGCTAAGTAAAAGCGATTTTTTATTGATAAAAGATAGTAATTGATCCCAATCGTTAACGGTTGTATGTACAGAAGGAGGACAATAAACAGCCATAATGTTTTCAATATCAACACAATTGTAAACCTTTAAATAAAGAATCTCTATGCCCGGGTTAACTATTGGCATATTTTGTAAGCGACACTTAACTGCTTTGTGGGTAATTATTTCTACTCCACTGTAGGAATCGAAACGATCCCTACGGTGTATGTTATAGTTACTAGAATGGCTGTCCATCGATGTAAAACGGTATTATTCACCCTCGGTGTTGTTATAGTTACTAGTTTTTAATGGGCTGTCCCGCTCTAACCGTGTTTCACTTAGAACCGCAATGTAAATCTTTTCCTGCGACACCGACAGTAACTGTTCAAATGCAACCAGCTTAGGTCTGACACTTTGACAATTCCACTGGATAATAAGTATTTATCTTAACATGTATTTTGTACTATCCATTTAAATAGTCCAGTAATAATTTTAAAATAGGCCAATCCGAAATATTATCTACTACAACTAAAATCAACCATTCCACACAACACTTTATCACATCCTTTTATCTTGTCTTGCATAGATGCACTTCTTAAAAATATGATCTCTTTCAGTCTATTTAATAATTCACTAAAGTTCACTTCCTTTTTCAGGATGATGATGTGATCAGGATTAAGAAAGGAATGCTTCGGTGGTTTGGTCATGTGGAAATAATGAATGAGGAAATAGTGACAAAGAAAATTTATGTTGCAGAAGTGAATGGCAGAGTCGGAAAGGGACGTCCTAGGTGAAAATTTAGCAACCAAATTGGCGATTTATTGAAAACGGGCCAAATTAGGAGTACCCTTAACCGACGAGCATGTATGCGTAGGTATATGGATATGAAGGAGGCGAGAGAGGTGTGTCAGGATCGTGCCAAATGGAAGTCTGTAGTCTCTGCCTACCCCTCTGGGTGACAGGCGTGAGTGTTTATGTTTTTTTGTCATGATTTTCGCCGCACTTAGGACATACTACTTTGTTATATGGGCATTTATTAATTGTATGACCTAGTTTCCAACAGCGCGAACATTGTGACACCGGAAACACATATGGATCCACTTTAATCCTCAAACCCTCAACGTGTACGTATGCTGGTAGAAACGATCCCTTGAAACAAAGTTGTATTGATTCACTAGGAACCCAACCACTTCCTGTTGCACTTCGTCTTTGCAGTCGCTTGATGGAAAGAAGTTCTGCATTGTTGGGACATGAAATGTTCTTAAGGATTTCCTCATTACCTAGTTCCATATCAACATCCCTAATAATCCCATATGAAACGCTTTTCTCCATAGCTTTTTGAACTTTCCAACCCCTTTCAATCAACGCTTTACATGTTTACAACTTGGTTACACTCATCTCATTAGTAATATCTAAACGCATTTTGTACGGGTTTAAATATTTAACTCTAGATATGTCTAAATTTTGTTGCTCCTTCAACACCCTAGCTAAGCCAAATTGCTTAGGTAACTTCTCATTACTTGAAATATACACCTCAATTTTATCGTGCCCAACTTTAACAATCTTTTCCTTTCTCTTTACCAACATCCATTCATTTTCTTCTTCATCCCTGTTTCTTTTACTTTTACCTATATTACTACACTCGCTATCCATCTGTACCTGAGATATTATTTTGTCATCGTACTGGTCCAATTCAAATTCCGATTTATTTAACTCCATATTAGGACTGCTACTCGACGTCCGCAGTACATCAGCGCTAAATTCATTACGCACAGTATACTCGTCCATTATATTAACAGACGGAACGTCCGGCACTTAGATAAAATGCATCGCTGCAGTTAACACCAAACCGGTTTGGCACGCCGCGACACAGCGCGTAATCGAGCGCAGTATAGATCGTTGATTCACTTAACATAAACAACTACCTCTTACGCGTACCAAAACGAGACTGAACTATTTTTACTAAATAATTGTTATTTCAAGTAACGAACGGAAAACATATAATTTCAACGAGGAAACCTTGTAATTTCGCGTTTTTTTGTAATACTCCTCTTAAGGAAATAGTAAAAAGTCCAACATCGTGCGATTTAAAAGAAGTTTTCTTCCTCGCTCAATTTCCTTGTGGAATCGACTACCACCAGAGATTTTTCCGGACCGATAAGACTTAGGGACCTTCAAGAAAAGAGCCTACTCCTTTTTAAAAGGCCGGCAACGCATCTGCAATTCTCCTGGTGTTGCAGTTGCTCATGGGCGGCGGTAGTCACTTACCATCAGGTGAGCCGTATGCTCGTTTGCCACTTCTCCTATAAAAAAATAATTGTTTAGTGTATTTAAGTATATACAAAAAAACCGAAAAACTTTTATCTGAATCGCAACTATTCACTTATTCACACTGTGTAACAATTATCTTTACCCCAATCGCAACTAGCGACGGGACAAATTATTAGCTCTCATTTAGCTTGTCCACAGTCGCTTCTTAGGACACCCAACCGCGGGACGAAATGGAATAATGAATTCTGTTACGCCTCGCTACCGCTATACGACGGAGGCGACATTGTTTTATAACTAAACCTAATATCTCAAACATTTTAAGCAAATAAATTATACAGAATTTGTCTGTTAAATAAAAATTTCCTATAGTAAAATTATTAATTTTGATTTATTTTCAGAAGGCATCTCGGCATTTCTTGATCCCATTTTAAATACATGCAATCCGTCAGAACATGTTCTTCAACAGCGACGTTAATTCTTCCTAAAAAGAAAGGAATTTCATTTAAAAACTATATTGTGGTTTAAATAATAAAATTAAAAGAAATTGTTTTGTAATGAGCATAAGGGATGTAATGACTACCTTCTGTAATTGTGACTATGTAAAGAATGCGTATTGCCGTGTAATAGTGAGAATAGTGTAATAGTGTTAACAGATGATCGAATTTGGCTTGGGCCGGAAAACGAACTTGATGTGACGGACCAAATCCACTGATCAACCGCTAGACTATATGTGTCTGGCAGTCACCTTGCATGCACAGCTATGTTCGGAAGTCACGTGATTTAAACTTAATCTTTTTCTATCTTGCCTGTACACTTATTTTCTTTTTTGATTATACACGGCCTTTCATTCTTCATCAGCAGATAAAAACGACATAATTCTCAATTGACTAATCTGGCGTCTGCTAGCACTATATGGGACTCCCTGACACAATTAGCCCTGTGAATGTGTTGTAATATATGACTATGGGAAATGCCAATTAACTTTTATGGGCCAATAAAAAATAAATAAGATTTCCCATTAGGTTCTGTAGTTGACGTTGTAGCCTTGCAACTGTACAAATGTTTCAATACTTGAGCATACAGACAATCTATCACTATGGTAGAAGTTGTAACACCAGTCAAATTTCAGCTGAATCAAAGGCTTCATAATCTACCCACTAGATTATAAGCTATGCCGATGTTAGTTAAAATTTATAAGAAACCCACTTGTTCAAGTGGCTATAGGATTACTTTTGTTAGAATAGTAGTGCATAGACATAGTAATATTAAAAAGGTTAAAGGTTTAACAACTGGCAACATAATACCAGAAAGCATAGGGCATACTACCTTCCACTGGATGGCGTGACAATCCGATGAGACATGCACAGAGTTAACAAATAGTGGGACCAGCTTTATACTTTTAAATTATCACGGCATATAAATCTAGTACCTACCCAAAATGTTTAAGAATGTGCTAAAAGTTTCTTCATTTCGAATAATACTTGCAATATAAATTTGCACCTTTGGATTTCTCTTAAAAAATGTTTCAAACACATTGCAAAGAGGTTGCAGTATTGATGGATCATACACAATGTCTGCACCAATAATTATATCAGGGTTTTGACTGTCATTTATATCCTTTATACAATTCCAGTCTAACATCATGACGCCTGTAAGCAAAATAGAAATATGTAGGGACTTAATGCATTGACTTTAGTAGCTCAAATTATAGCTACAAATATTTTTATAGTATTAAAGTAAAATACATAGGATAATAGATAGCATACCAGCCTAAGTGCAATCCACAACATCTGCATCTTTACTAGCAATTTTTTTTACACAGGTTGACTCAAAAAATAGCGTCAAGCGGAAGTCCAGATATAGAGCACTCCTTGGGGAACCCCCCATGTATGTTTCGCGAGTTTTCATAGTTTTCAATTTATGATTTTTTTCTGAATTTTTGAGAATTTTTGACTCAAACAACTAAAAAATTTCTTAAAAAATAAAAATAGAAGACTTTTTTGGAGATTTTTTACAACTGAATCGGTATGAGCTGTACTTTTATGCTAATAATCAGATTCGTAACTTTGATGAAAATTATAATAATGTTAGTGTAAACTGAAAAATTTGTGTTCGGTGAATTATGACTTAAGTTTATAACTTTAAATTAAAAATCTAAACAAGTGACTTGATGGTTCCTTATTAGGTCTCAAGAATTTTCCAGACTCTCAACTATCAAAATCATTAAAAAATTAGCTATAAATGGCGTTCAAAGGCAGCAGGTAACTCTCTTGCATAGCCATTGAAATAAAACATAAGATAATAATCTCTTGATGAAAAAGGCATAGGTCACCAAATTAATGTACTTGAAAAGTCTGTTGAGAAAGCCAAATTAGTCGAAGTCTGTATCACCACAAAACCGAATAGTAGTTGCACTCAATCTTTAAAGAATGCAAAGTTAGTCAAATAGTTACAAACTAAGAGCGTATCATAATTCGCAAAGGCAGGTAAACGACTTCTACTTCTTTTTTAGAATTTTTTAAGTTGTTCAGGTCAAAAATTCTTAATAATTCAGAAAAAAATCATAACTGAAAAATCACAGAACATACATGAAGGTGATTTGGCACCCCGAGTGGTGTTGTATCTCTTCACTTCTGCTTGACACTACTTTTTGTCACAATTATACTCACACATCAATTTTGGTGAAGAAAATTGTAAATAAACCTGCATATCCAGAAAATTAAAAATACACCCAAAACTTTTTGAAAATTTATCTAATTGATTAATGATTACCCTATCAGAAAATTAAATAGGGCGTCATTATCATCATTACGGCTCAAGAACAGCAGACAAAAAATAGCACTGAAGAAAGGTATAAGAGGGGCAGCCTCCTACCATTAAGCAAAGTGTTGGGCAACTTTTGGATAGATATGTAAATGATAACCGACTATGTAAGTGATAAACTAACCTAGACTAGTAAGACACGCAAGTAATTGATGTATGGAGGTCACTCATTGCAAACTAGCATTTTATGTAAATGTTATTTCTTATTGTGTAGTGTGAATATCAATACAGATTTAATTTGATTATCAAATACAATATGAGGGGATGATAATTTAAATATCGAAAATATTTTGAATATTATTTCTATTTGAAAAATAAAATAAAAATAGGTCTATGAGCTCTAAGAGTTTCTGTACCTATTAAGATGACATACTTAAGTATAGTTTTTACAAAATAGTAAATAACAGTTTTACCAATTTCCTTTTCTTCACTTCTAAAACAAGTGCATTGAGAAGTTTCTTTCTTTTCTAACTTTGGAAAGTTTATTGCAATATTTTCAATTAATACTTTTAAAACATCAATGTGGCAATCGGTCATCATTATAGATTTTGGGGAGCAGAATTTTGCTAAAGTAATGCCTGTAAAACCCACACCGGAACCAAGTTCCAGTACTTTCTTATTATTAAACAGTTCTCTGTTACCAAGTATCCAATCAGATAACATGATAGCAGCCTAAAACAAAATTTTGCATACAGTTAAAGTTGTTATTGTTATTTGTTTTTATAACTACATGAGAAGGAGAAGGAAATTGTTTTAAATAGCAAGTAGTCAAGAAATTTTTACAGTGAATGCATATTGGAGTTTTCCATACTTATTCAATATTATGTTACTTATATCAGTAGGTATCACTTCAACTGCAATCACCTGATGGAATAAGAAACCAATGATGCCCATGAACAACTGTAACACCAAAGGACTTGCTGGTGTGTTACTAGCCCTTTAAAAGTAGTAGGCTCTTTTTTTGAAGATCCCTTTAATCTTATTGGACTGGTAAAATTGCTGGTATTAGCACTTTCTACAAATTACTAGAAGCTTTTTCATCACAAAAAATACAAAAATTTTTTGTGATGAAAAAGCTTCTAGTAGGCAAATTACAGATCATTACATGCAAAGGCAAGTATTTACTACAACACAAGGAGCATCAAAAACATAATGAATCTAGGTGTCAGTCTTTATGGACTTAGTGACAATTAAATAATGTTTTAGACATACCTTTTAAAAGAAAATTGAACTTATGAAGAAACAAACTTCCAAATAATTTCATCATCATTATTACAACCTATCAAATACAACTGCTGAATGCAAACCTCCACCAATAATTTCCTTATTATAATTGTGATATAGGAGGGATATTTTAAATTTTTGTTAAGTTACCGCCCTTGGCAGATCTGTTTGAAAGTGCATTTTGTATTATTCTGAGTTGTCATGAAGATGCTACTACCCATCTCCTATTCTAGTATCCCTCTATAGCCTGCCATGACACCCATAGGTTGATATAAGGTAGTGGACACTTAAGCCACTACCACCCAGTGCCAGTAAAAGATTTAAAAAACTGTTTTTCTGGGAATCCAGGGTGTCTGTTTAAACTTTAACCAAATGTCCAGGGTTTTTGAAGTTTTTGCCTGGCATTGGATTCAGATGACGGCAGCCCTACATGTAAGTACCTAAAGAATTAGGGAAATGACAAGTTTTAT